AGCCTTGTGGATGGCGAAGCCTTGTGTTCCCGTGCAGCCTGGATTAATTGCTTTGGGGGTGACATTTCTCTGTGGACCACCAAAATTTTCTCACAGACAACCAATGGTCCCCGGCCCACTGGTGAGCAACCACTGATTTAAATCCAATCTAGCTGAGCTTTTCTGAAAGCAGCCAAAACGCAAAAATTGAGAAGTCACTGAAAGACTTGACGTTGCCAAACCGTTCCATATTGTCACCAAGAAAGTAACATGGACGTTATTATCCATGCAGTTGAAACATGAAGGAATGCATATATGATGGCCACAAGTTAGCTATACTTCGTTGATTTTGAAAGCAGACCTGGAGAAAGACTTGGAAAGAAAAGAAGAATTAACTTTTGTGTGGAAAAGAGAAGGCCGCCATTTTGTTTTCCTTCCAAACCGCAGCCAAGCGGTTTGGCCTCACTAGGGTGGTAGATTAGACTTAAAAAAACATGTCCGCTAATTTTGAATACTTTGAATATTTCGCAAATACTTTAAAGCAGAAAGTAGGAATCGGTGACTTGGGGCAGGGGGAGGCAATGACAGCACGGTTGCCCCCTGAAATGCAAGCTGAGACTCTTGTATGTGCGTTGTGATGTTGCTCACGCTTACAGAAGGGACAGCAGGCTGATGTTGTGATGGCACAGTGTGTTGCTTTTGTCATGTTCAGAGGTGGGGATCAGCAATATCAGCCTGGGAAATATTCTTTTATATATTTCGATATATAAATATGCTTCTGTATACATTTCATAGTTAAAAGAAGATTCGGCTCTTTTGCAAAATAGTTAAGGAGAAAATATCTGTGCCTCTGACGAAGAGTTTAGTCCATATGCATTTTGTTTGGATTATGATACAATGTGGATTTTCAAATTAGCAATGTTTACCATTTTTGTTCTTTTGTTGGCAGGATGCTTTCATTCAAATACATTTTCATGGACGTAGGTCTATTTGGCCCCATGCACCATTGTTTGCAAAAGATATCTTTTTTATTTGCTTTGGCCTGTTGAGCCTGAATAACAAAAAACCACATACATCCTAAATAATAAAACAACATCCTGAAAAACAACTACGCACACCAATAGTGCTATTTTATTGATGAAAATTCTTCTGATTGATGGTAGTGTACTGACTGCATACACAGCCAGAAATAACAAAATGCCACTATTTTGCAACAGAAAGACTATTTAAATTGGGTATTAGCAACCTGTTTATGTAATACTAGCTCTATACCCCTGCTTCGCTATGAAACTGTGATCAGGCTTAAGTTTTGGGGAGGAAAATAAGGAAAAAAATTTTTTGCCTCGGCCTACCAGCACCCATCAGTATTCCTCTGGATAGCATCCTATCAGTGTGTGAGAGAGTTGAGGGCTGTTTTGAAACTGAAACAGTATTTGCTGTGTGAGCAAGGAGCCTGGGCGTGGCTTAGGTCAACTGTTCTGTACTAAAGCTGATTGCTGCTGTGAAACTAAAATTGAAACTCCTCTCCTCTGCTTGTGTTTTGCATTTGGAAGAGATTTCTTTTCAGGTGGGGAGGGGGAGTAGAACTTAGTATCAGAATGTGTTGATAATAATATAGGAAATACTAATGCTCTGATGGTCATTTCGAAAAATCCTTTCTTAGTGAGCACCTAGAAACCAAGAGGAACATATGTGCCAACTTTCAAATTTGTAGGCTTTACAGTTCTGGAGATTTTGTGATGATGTGTGAGTGGTATTTCGCATATGATGTGTGAGTGGTATTTTGCGCGCACGCATATGAATATGTAGGTAGGTAGGTAGGTAGATATAGTACAATCTTTTTTTGTGCCAATGAATTAAAAACGGGGTGTCAAACTCAAGGCCCGGGGGCCGGATCCAGCCCGCAGGGTGCTTAGATCTGGCACACAGGACTGCTCTGGAAACAGCAAATGGACGGCCCGTGGTGCCTCTGCCCACAAAAATTAAGTTTAGGAGGGCTGTTTGAGAACTTTCTGACCTCCATTTTTGCTGGCAGAGGGTTGCAGGAGGTCGTCCCAGCTGAAAACTAAACTCGTGAGACCATTTTCGCTGGCAAAGCGCTTGGGCCACCATAGGCACCCACGACACAAGTGATGTCAAACTGGCCACGCCCACTGTGCCTCCCCCCCCACAAGGTCAAACACAACCCTGACGTGGCCCTCAATGAAATAGAGTTTGACACCGCTGGTTTAAATGGACATATTTGCTATAAAAGGAGACAGAACTTAGAAGTGAGGAGTATAGAATCTGTAGTTCTCAAGATACAATCAAATTCTAAATATTTTTAAAAACTAAAAATGGGGCTGACAATGAGAACAGGTAGTGCTCAATTTACAACAATTGGGACCAGAATGTCTGTTGCTCAGCAAGGATGGCTATTAGGTAAGTTGTGCCTAATTCTATGATGGTCTTTTTTGCTAAGGTTGTTAAGCAAATCTGGCAGACGTTAAGTGAAGCAGGTTTGTTAAGCCAATCCAGCTTCTACCATTGACTTTGCTTCTTGGAAGCCAGCTGCGAAGATCTCCAATGGTGATCACGTGATCCCAGGACACGCTAACCATCATATCTGCTGGTTGCCAAGTGCTCAATTTTTGATCACATGACAGTGGAGATGTTGAAATAGTCGTAAATGCGAGGATTGATTGGAAGTCACTTTCTTCAATGCCGTTATAGCTTTAAACAGTCACTAAATGAATGCTTAGGACTAGCTGTAGGGTTTATATTACTGCTTTCTATTTTTCTTTATGCAGAATTCTGAAATAAATATTTCCTCATCAATCTTGATTCCTGAAAATTGTTCCCTTGTATTTCTGCGTATAAGTGTTATTGAAATTGTTTCCTGCTAGCTTCTACCAAGAATGTGAATTTCTGAGTTCTGCTAACAGCCTTGGGATTCAAAAGTAATTTCCCATCCAAGTACGGAACAGGATTGAACTTAATGAGTTTTCAACAAGCCTTGAAGCCTTTTCCACCAACATCCTTGTCCAAAAATTTTAGGATTACCATATTAATTTGAGTTTACATTGCCCACATGGATTAAATGGTATCTTTAAATGAGATATCATCATCACCATCTTCTTTTAATGACCTCATAATCCCTTGTGGGGTGGAGTCTGGGCAACTGAATGGAGCTAGCGGAGTATTTTAATGGTCGGATGCCCTTCCTGTCGCCAGTGCGGAGTTTTGTTCAGCAGATAAATTCTCAGTGTGCCCAGAGAGAGAAATATCTGCCTCTACCTAGGATTAAACTCATAACCTCCTGATTGTGAGGCAAGAGCTCCACCTCTAGGCCATCACACCACTCCGTTAAATAAGGTGTGATGATCTCAAAATACCTTAAGATCGTCAAATCTCCAGAGCTCTATTTTTGTTCTTCCCATTCATCAACAGTAACATGAGTGAAAAACTAAGAGCGCTGAAGAGACCCCCAGAAACGTGGAAACTAAAATGACAAGTAACAAACGTCAACTTTTCCACTCTTTTACAGGTAGTCCTTGATTTACAACCATTTGTCTGGTGACTGTTCAACGTTACAGCTGTCGAGTCATAAAATATGTCTATGGTCTTTTTAGAGTTACCAACAGAAAAGGAGGGAGCAGTGAGCAACTTGCATTCCATAAATAGTTTTCAAAGATAGTAACTAGGTGACCGAAGTTTCTGCCGCGCAAAATTCTAACTGGGGAACATGATTGATGACTCTTGGCTATGGATGTGTCCCATTGGAGAATATGAATTACGATACACCCAGGGGGTGGGGGAAAGCCAGGGGCAAGGGTGACAATGAATGATGTGTCTCAGAGTCGGCTACACCCAGGCAGCGCCGGCATGTTTACTCCTAATAAATCTTCTTAAGTTTTGAAAATCCGGCTAGAGACTCATGATTTAAATGGGGGTAACTACAGGAGCCCGGACAGCAGCACTGAAAAACAGGACTTATGACTGCGTTTCACACTTACGACCGTTGCAGCATCCCCATGGTCAAAATTAGGATGCTTGGCAACTGGCATGTATTTATGAGGGTTCACAAGTGTCCTGGGGTCATATGATCCTCATTTTTTGACAAAGTCAAAAAATGACTTTGTTGACAAAGTCAACGGGGAAGCCAGATTCCCTGAACAACACTGTTACTAACTTAACTGCAGTGATTTGCTTAACAACTTTGCAAGAAAGGTCGTAAAATGGGGGCCAAACTCACTTAACTGTTTTGCTTAGTGATGGAAAGGTTGGACTCAGTTGTAGTTGAGACCTCTACTATAAAAGTAGAAACGTATCTCCAAGAAAGAAAGGAAGGATGGATCAGCAAAAACCATGTGTTTTTAATTGAAAACTGGTTTTTAACGACCAACTTAGCAAATTTGGGCAGTTACAAACCTGTACACAATTTTTTTTCTTTTTCTTTTTTTAATAGCAAAATAACAAGACAATACTGCCAACAGGAAAATGAACAACTGATAGGCAATGGGGACAAGATCCATTTCATTTCCAGAGATCATCTTCCCTTTTGCATAAGTTTGTTACAGGGTGAAATAATGAGAGAAACCTTTTTTTAATGCCAACAGAAATGTCATTAGAAAACGTGATTGCATTTGCACACACACAAAAAAAACCTTTAAAAAACAACAACCAGGAAGCAGTTTCATAGAAACAGAAGTTAACAGATAACAGCTGATCCAAATGAAAATTGAAGTCTTCTTCAGCAACTAAAAAAAGTGTTTTTTGTTTTATAAGAAGTGTTTCATATCATTAACCTGATACAGATGACTTTACACAAATGAAAAGTAACAAAAATGAAAAGCGACCTGATTGGCATTGAATATCTACAAAAGCCCAGTAATTTCAAAATTATTATATACATTATTTTATAAACTTTTAAACACCAAAAACGTACATCTTTTACAAACCAGCCTGCTTGCAACAGGTAAAATTTACACACAATTATCTTTTCTTATACAGTGCTTCAAGGAGAACTTAAGATTTTTTTCCCCCAAAAAATAAACTTCCTGAAAAAGCAGTTATCCTGGGTTTGAAAAATTGTTCTGGCAAGAATTCAATGATATGCTTATGTTAAGTGAGGCCTTGAATTCCCACGATCCAGTTCAATTATTCTCTTAACACTGCCAATGGTGAAGTTTGGATATGGCCTGTAATACATTTGTAAATTATTGCTCTTTAAAAAAAAGATGAAACAAAGGTACTTACATCCCACTACCTCTCCTTTTTTTCTCTAAATTAAAAAAAAATCCATTGCTCTTCTGTTTGGTGCATAGCCTTGAAATAATGATCTTTCCTGGACAAATTAACTATGGATTTTACTACTGGAGAGATGTAATGAGCAAAGAAAGGAAATGCCAAAATCCAATTTTTGCATAATCGCAAACAAATTTTTTTCCACTCCCAATTATATGGAATGAATTTAGAAGATGCAGTTCAGCTAGAATGCCCCATCAAAATTTTGGGAAGATTTCTGTTCTCTGTGGCAATATTGAAATTATTTATCTTTAGCTTGTGAAAGACTCTCTAATAAAAGCAGTAAATTAATATTAAATCGCTTTGCTATCAACATTATAATGTGGAAGTCACAGTTTTCCTCATTTTGTATGCAACTGTGATGACAGGTCTTACCTGCGTACCAAGTATTTACACAACTAATAAATACTGCCTCTGGGCAGTACTACTTCAAGTGCGATATGGCTCACATGATATAGGCATTCTTATACCATCTCGTAAATAGGAAACAAAGAGAAAACGCTGAATTTAGATTTTTTGGCTCGAGATGCAGCTTTATCATGTGGGATTAATATTATTTTTAGGAAAACACTTATTCCTGTGAGCTTCAGGCTGCCATCTTGTGTAGTAGGAGGAATAAGACTCTTGCATAGAACAAAACCTGAGTCATATCAAAAGCAATGGAGCTGTCCATGGCTGCTAGAGGACCAGGAGAGCATAAGGACATCAAGAAAATTCAAAATGGCGGATGCCATTTGAGACTTGAAGCTGCCATCTTTAATTTCCTGATCCTCCCCCCCCCCCGCATCTGTTTAACTCACCAACGGCTATGCATTATTCGTAGTTAGATAGTTCTGAAATGTCCCATTTCTGCTTGTTGGTGGGGAGGAGATATTTTTCTTAAATCTCTTCCAAATTAAACCAAATATGTATTCCCCGAAAAAAAAATCCTACTGAAAAAAATACATTGGCCGTACATCTCTTTTCAAACTGTCCCACTTTATGATATGCTGCACTGGTTTATGTATAGGAGCAATCAGAAATAGGAATTTCCCCATTTTTGAATCATTGAATTGGTTGTTAATTATCTATGCGTAAAGCGGCTGAGCAAAGACTGTCTGACGCCCCAGTTGGCTTCAATGCCATTTAATCATCTACGGCTTACTTACTACTAATCTTTTACCCCATGTCATCAACGCCAATTGACAGACGAGTTGCTGTTGAGATAAAGCCAGGAAAAATCAGAGTGATTTACTGTAAAAGAAAGTAAGAGAGAGAAAAAAAAAAACCACGCCGGCAGAGAAAGTGTGTATGCCTATTAATTGTGCTGAACTGCAGGTGCTTACAAACATCTGGAGTCTGGCCAATGCATTTAGCTCGCTTGTCTAGGATGCTTTTACCTATGCGAAGCTAAAACTGAATAGCAAGATTACAAGAGAATCTGAAAGTAAACACAGTGGAATGTATAAATGGGCAATGCATTCTGGGATGAACAATGCAGATTATGCTGTGGAATAAGTGGGACAACCGGGGGGGGGGGCAGTGAGCAGCCAGCTGCTGGGAGAGAGGTGGGGAAAGGAAGGAGGAGGAAGTGCATAGGAATTGGTAAGACAAGAAGAGCTTAACATTTAGAGGGTTCTAGAATAAACATGCAAGTTATTCAGGAGAAGAGTGGAAAATGCCCCTTACTTTGAACTATCAAAGGTTTTCAGTTTATTCTTTTTTATGGAAGACTACTAGAAAGTAGGAGGAAAAAGGTATCTCACTTAATTTCAGGTATAATAATAAATGTCCAAAAAAGAAAAAAAAGCATTATTTGAAAATTCCTTTTAAAACTCAGGAAGAATTACTTCATAATAACTTTGCGTATGTGCGTGTGTCTGTGTGAGGACAAATAAGTGCAACCAAATAACAGTCCAGAATTCAAATGTGTAGCAACTTTGGTATCCATTCAAAACAACCCCAAGGTATATAATAGCTATGAACATAATCAATTGGAGATGTTGATTATGTCAACTCTTCTGTGGGTCTATGTATGTGTGTGTGCACAGATGCACACACATTCATGGTCATGAGAAGGTAGGTCAACCCACACATCAGCTAGTTCCTCTGTTGACTAAGCTTATTCAATTCCATACATTAGCATCCTTACCATACACAAAGTTCAAATACCATGTTTCCCTCATCCCCAAATATTTCGAAAGGGGTTCATAAAAAGCTGAGAAGGGTGAACAAAAACCATCATTTTATAGATGCATTATAAAAGAAGACTACCATATTTGGAAGCGAAGCCCAAGAGAGGGAAAAAAAAATCACTGGACAGGAAGCACTAATAGTTTGTACTATTTAGAGTATTCATACCGGCAGTGTATTTGTCTTGGCTTGAAAAATAATTTTTTACACACGTTTTTCCAACCAGACCATTTCTTATACATAACCCTTAGTTACAATATTCTTATAGCCTGAAACGGGAGTTGTAATCAACAGATTCAATCAACTTCCAACATAAAATTTAGATAACCTTTGTAAAATAAAGCTGCTCCCTTGCTTATTGCATGGCACTTAATTGAACCACTTGGCTTGATATGATCTATTAACCGGTGTCCTCCGAGGCTGAAATAAGTGCCGATTAGTGTGAGGACACCAGAAATATTTAATTTAGCAAGCCAAGTAAAAACAAAATTTGTCACTTGGTGTAAAGAATTTTTAGAAAACCTCTCTCCATTGGGATGGAAGCACTCATTCAAACAAAAAACAAGATACAACTGAGAAATGGGCATTTGCAAAGGGGACGTGTGGTTTACGAAAGTCAAGAAGGCAACCTATTGTGTGGTGATCAAAGCTACATCTTCATGTGTCATATGTATGCAACACACACATGAAAAATGAATGAGCCTTAAGTTACATGGTTGCAGCCCCCATCTTGACTTTTTCTGACACCCCCCCCCCCCCCCGCAGATGAATCCCACGAAAGACCTGCGGGGACATCCGAAAACCATAATTCCCTTCCATCAGTAATCATTTTTTTTTCCTTTCAGTTGCTAGTAGGCTGGATTCTCCCGTTACCTTCTTCCATGCAAGATGGAAGCTTGAATTCCAGTGAGACAAGGAATGTGGCAACAGTGTTCAAAACATGTGGAAAAGATCATCTGGCTGGGATTTCTTTTTTCTTTTTCCTCATCACCCCTAAAATACATGGTGGTAATGGAGTCAACAGCTACAATGGCACTCTTTTGAGGTAAAAGGATAAAGGACTCCCTGTGGATATTACTTGGCTAGTCATTACAGACTGTAGGGTAAATGGTATCTAAAGATGAATGGAAAAAAATGCTGTTGATGTATCCTAAGAATTGAGGCTCAGGAGAAGACAGGGAATCCAACAAATAAATAAATACACAAACAAATAACCCATCCACCATTCCATTTTTCAACTCCCGACTGCAGGGTCAGTCCTGAATCAGGGTCAGGGTATATGGTATTTAAAGATGAATGAAATCTCTAGGTATTAAATTCCACGTTGACACACTGTTGTTTATATGAGCCAGGACTGATGGCTCAGTGGCATAAATTTTTGGACTAAGGGGGCCGTCTTAATACCCACCATTTGACTCATCAAGACGGCCAAATAATTCCGAATTCCCTGTTTCTTTTAGAGTTAGAGCAGTAGGCATGAGTTAGAACCACTCCTGATTGGACGTCCTCTTGGTGTCTTGGATTATAACTCCCATTATTCATAGACCGAATGACCAAGAAGCATGCTGATTAGCAATTATGGGAAGTGCAGCTTAACCCTCTGGGAAAGTATCAAGCTGAGGAAGATTGGCTTGTGTTGTGTTTATGAGTGAGTGCATTCAACGCAATCAGCCAACATATGGGGCAATGTAGAAATACTTCATTTAATGGACCAGCCGTTGTGAAGGAACTGATTTAGAAAGGTTTTAGGGAGGGAAATGACCAGCTATCCTTTCCTTTATTGATTAACTGGTCTAGGGTTTAAAATGGTTTAGAATGCAATGCGGCGAAGTGGAAGGGTCAGTCTGCCATCAAACCATTTTCCGCCAGGAAATCTTTCTTTTGGCAATAAGCAGGAAATGCTAACTCCAAAGTCTAATCAAAGTCTAACCTTGGGTATGGATTTTCCGAGACAACCTGCAGTTTTCACCCTGTAATGTACATGTGTAACATCAATCTCCTTGGCAGGCTGAAAATGGTTGGATTTCAACCCTGCACCAGATGTAGAACACTTATGAAGCAAAAGAGAAGAGCTACAGAGTTATGCTATGAACAGGACCAAATGACAGCAATGAAGTCCAGGAAGAGAGCTCCTTCACACTTGAGTCTGCTGATGGATCTCCACAAAAGGAATGTGAATCTGATGGTGATCCAGACAGAAGTCCTCAATGCTTTCATAGTCACTCATGGCAATCTCAGAGTCATCGAAACCACAGCCCATCGAAACATCAGACGAGGATGCGTCTAGAGAATTGTGTAAAGACAAGGGTTTCTTGGCCACGCTGTTGCCTGTATTTGGTCCTGGGCCAACGCCAAAAGTACTAAATTCGTTCCCAGTCTGAGACCCACTGTTGTCCATCTCGTTGGGGAACTGGTGAGGAGGGAGGTATTGGCTCGGGTGAAACTGTGGCCGCCTCTGGCAATCTGGGCTCAGCGTGCCAGCCATGGAAATTGGCTGGGAAGGCGGGAGGGCTTCGTAGTGGTCTGGGTAATCCTCTGGGAGGGGAGGGGGCAACTGGTCTTGGTTTAAAAACTCCTCCTCATGCGGTGGAGGATAGTCACTATCAATATCATAACCACCAAGGTAGTAATCCGTCTCGAGCTCCCTGGTGCTCCCATGATGAGCTGAGCTGCCATCGGTGGCCTCGTAGTGGGGCACCTCCTCAATGTCAGATAAACGCGCACTCGGCATCCAGTCAGAAGTGTCCCAGTGATAAGCTGTAGAGGGAAACAAAGACTACGTTGGAACAAAAAACCCACAACACAATCTTTAAGGGAAATGCAACAAGTCCCACATGCATAGAAGACCTTTTGCCAGGGGTGTCAAACTTGATTTCACTGAGGGGCGCATCAGGGTCGTGTTTGACCTTGGGGGGGGGAGTAGGGGGGCCATGGCCAGCTTGTGTCAGGGCCTGTGGTGGCCAGAGCGCTCTGCCAGCGAAAACATGCTCCCGAGCTCTGTTTTTGGTTGTGATGGCCTCCTGAAATCCTCTGCCAGCGAAAACGGAGCTTGGGAGGGCCGCAAGGTCTATTTTCGCTGGCAGAGGCACCGTGGACCAATCCTTCACTGTTTCCAGGATGGTCCTACGGGCCAGATCTAAGTACCTCGCGGCTAGATCTGGCTAGCGGGCCTTGAGTTTGACACCCCTGCCTTATGCAATGAAGTTGCTTAAGCAAATAATCAGCATGCATTTTAATTTTTTTTCTTTTGTGGTTTCTGTGAGACAGCAGCCAAGCATGCTTTGGCCCAAGTGAAGAGAAGCAACCTCACGTCGCAGCAGTAACCGACACCACGCCGCCATCTCTAAAGTAAAGAAAAAGTTTAAAAAACAAAATCAAAGCAAAGGAAGTAAGAAATCAAACTTGCCGAAAGTCTAAAACTGTTCACGGAAATGCAGGCAATTGGTGATTTAGGTAGAAAAGTGTATAAAAAAACCCCAGACATTAGAAAACTCAACATGCTCTTGGAGTCGTGTTCATTTCCAAGTTGTTGGGAAAAGGGGGGGAAAAATTATACAGGCAAACGAAGTAACAGGCAGAAATGTAAAATAATAATTTCAAAAAAGGACTAGCAAAACCCTGAAATAAAAAGGAAAGGTTTTCTGCAGGACCAAATATATACCTCATAACATGCTATAACATGCACAATCCAGATTAAAAAAAATAAAGCCCAAGTCACTGAGGCCACATAAAGTGGATTAGTAGTATTTTGAAGCTCCCATCAAGGCCACCCTTTTCCAACCATTATGGCAGGCAGATGCAAAATCACCTCTGTTGCAGTTCTGTCCTTCATCCATACCAGAGACTGTTAAATATAAAGTGAAGAAAAGAAAAGAAAAAAACAATACTGGAAATTCTCAAGTCTGCAACCAGCAGTGTTAAAACAGAGCACCGCAAAACGCCTTAACACCATGCTATATGCTTCTTAAATGCGTCTGATGTAAAATATGATTAAAAAGTACTTTTAAGCCATGCGTCAATGAAAGGTTAAAACGTTATTCCGCTTTTTCGCTTAATCAAACCTACAGAGGCACAAATGGAAACAGCATTTTACACCAATGGATAGAATGGATGACTTTTAATTATCCGAAGCAGACATGCAAAACTGACTTTGGAAGTTTAACACAAAAGTCAATACACTTTTCTTTTTTCTTTTTGTTTAAAAAAAAAAAAAGACTATGATGCATTTCTTTCTTGCTCGCTGTGAAACAGAAAGAAAAAAAAATTAAGAATCTACCATGTTCAGGGCCGGTTCAAACAAATCTGGGCCCAAGTACGTTCAGATACCACGGTGAGGGGCACGGTATAACAACCTGAACAGAACAGAATAAAAAAGCAGTCAATTGGGCCACTAGAACCACATAGCACAGAATCCGTCTCTATCTTTCCATCTGCGAAATGGGAAACTGGCTAAGAGGGGACAAGGAAAACTTCCTCGCTTCTTGTTTTAGTTCCCCATTTCAAGTCATCTCCTTAATCCTTCCCACTTGGTACTGAGAACACCAAACTTAGGAAAATATTTGAGAGTTTGAAGCTGGTTCTTCAGGAGGCTAAAGGTTACCACCATTGGGGGGGGGGGGGGGAGGATGAAAAATTAATGGACAATCTCCTCTGTGTGGATGGATGCAGGATCTTCTGTTGCAATGATCTGGGGCTGACACACCAATTTTCAGATGCCTTTTAAGGTCAAAACAACGGACAATTTGGTTGGTGAACCACAGGAGGGGCTGCAGGAACGGGGGGTTTGGAGACCACAAGTTGTGTGTTCCCTGGCTGATAGGAGTATGTGGTCTCCAACATGGGTGGGATTCGGCTGGTTCGGACCAGTTCGGGAGAACCGGATGTTAATTTTGCATGTGGTTCAGTGAACCGGTAGTTCGGATGACCGGCTGGGCCCCACCCCACCCTGCCTCTCCCAGGAGTCCCCACATGGCCCGTTTTGGATGCCAGGAAGTACAGGGCCCGCATGGAAGCTTGGGGATGGTGAAAAATGGGCCTCCTGGAGGCCCTGGATAGCAGGAAACAGGCCCATTTCCGGCCTCTGGAGCCTGGGGGAGGCCTTTTTTGTCCTCCTGGAGGCTCAGGCCTTTGGAACTTGGGGAGGGGGAAAAAACGGGCTTCCCAGAAGTCCGGAAATGAGCTTGTTTCCGGCCTCCAGAGCCCGGGGGAGGCTGTTTTTGCCCTCTCAGAGGCTCGAGGAAAGCCTCCGGAGCCCAGGGAGGGCAAAAATTCCCCCCGGCTGTGGTGCAGGAGGCCAACTAGGCCATGCCCTCCATGGCCACACCCACCCAGCAGCTGGATAGAGAAGTGGTTGCTAACCTTTTTGAATCCCATCCCTGGTCTCTAAACTTTCAAGGTTGACCTTTTCCAAGGCACAATAAGAAACGGTGAAATGTTCTATACTGTATGGATTATCTGATCTACAGCCTACCCTGCACACATTTAGTAGCCTGTGTTGCAGGAATGTTAAGTGTATTCTACTACCCAGCGGTTAAGCTGCCATTAAAGGAACAGAAGAAGTGGCGGGTAATAATAACAGGCACTGAAAATTCAAGCGAGGAAAATAATTTATCTAAGAGGGTCCTGGTTATTCTGATGAAAGAGGGCTTTTGCCTGCTTTTAAGTATAAGCATTAGAAACAGGTTACAAATACATCAGGTTAACATTGAGAAAGAATGTAGTCTTTCTCTCTGAAATGCAAATCGCGTCATTGCTGTGCAATGAATTAGTGAAACACAAAATCTCGGTGGGCTTTTGCGAGACCTTGTTGTTTTTAGGATACATTTTGTAATGACTTTAATTAACAGACGAGCAAAACTGACTTTGGAATTAACACAAAAGTCTACACGAATATGTTGTTATTGGGGTTTTGTTTTTTAATAGGGCTGCTATCAGGTTTTGCTTCAATAAAAAAAGAAGCAGAACTTGAACATATGAAAACTGGTACCAGATAGGGCTTAGTCCCCTTCCAGATTTCAATCAGGAGTAGAATTCCGACACTATTCTCTATGTATAGGTAAATGTCATTTTCTATTCTAAAGGACGTGGTGCTGATCTTTGTTTCTTAGCCGAGGGAGGCAGTATTGTCCTTTGACATAGTTATTTGCACGACTATGTGGCCGGCATGGCTATACACCGAGATACAGAGAACGCTGTTACCACATCACTGAAGTGGTACCTATTTATCTACCCTCATTTGCATGCTTTCGAACTGCTGGTGAGCAGGAGCTGGAGCAAGTAATGGGAGCTTGCCCTGTCATGCAGTACTTGGGTCTTGAACCCAGTTTGTCAGCTTTCCAGCTGAAACTCTCAGAATCATATTGTCTATGGCCGTGCCTGAAATTGTGCAAGAATGTACTCAGTGTAGCAAGTTGGGTCGCTATAGTGGACGAGTTGCAAGTAGTGTGGCAAGTGTTGAAAACTTGCAAGACCATAGCAGGTCTTATTATTTTTTGAGCCTGCAGGATCTGGGTTGGATTGGGTAAATGTGATTTTTCTGAGTGTTTCCTGAACACACTGTATGTTTTATGGGGATAAACAAACTAGGCTAGCAGAAGGAAGAGACTTTCTCTCCTACCAGTGGTTGCAGCTCAGGTAACACTGTCTGAACCGGCCCTGACTATACAAAAACAAAACAAAAGCACATATTCAAACGTTCTCTTGACCAGGTGCAAGGAGCTTTTGTGTGTCACTCGTTGCAGTGTGGTTCTCCCCAACCTGGTACTCTCTAGATGTGTGGGAAGACTAATTTTTCTTTAGTTTGAGGTCATGCCAACATGGACTTTGGAGGGTTTTAGAAGCTCACACCATCTGAAAGATGCCAGGTTGGGCAAGGCACAGTTATCTTTACACAACACAGCAGAACTCCACTAACCTCTTAACTTGCCTGCTCTGCAAGATACAACAACTCTTTCCCTTCCTAGGTTGAAGCAACAACGCCACAAGTAAAGTAATATACATTTCTGAAGGTAAATATTTTTGGTTTGGTTACTTTGGCTGCTTCCAAGAATTGTAAAACTTTTCATATCGATGCCACTAAAGTGTTGTGGCCTGTCGGCCCCTCCAGCAGCCAAATGAGATAAGGTTGAGTTATGGGAGCCAGCATCAAGGAAACCTGAGAGCTCTGAGGGGGAAGAGGGAATGGAGCTGTCAGAGAGAGAGACAGAGGTGGAGCCTGGGCCATCCGTCAGCCCTCAGATGGAGAGTCAACAGCACCCAGGTCTGGCGGTGGCTGATGAGGAACAGGAAGAACAGCTGGGTCCCGTGCCTGACGGATGTGCAGGAGGCAGAGGAAAGGAGAGCAGTGGAAATCTATGGGCTGATTCTTGGGATAGAAGAGCCAACACTGCTAGTAAAGCCCCACCCTAGCTCTGGGGATTAAAAGCAGAGAAGGGAAAGGAATAGCTGTGGCAGACAACTATTCATCTCCCAGGCGGACAGACTTGTTAGCCTGCTGTGGCACTCCTAATAAAGGAATCCTTGATTTAACTACAGAGGATTTGTCACGTTTGGGAGCCAAGTCACAACATAAAGTCATTCCAAACAATAGCCTTTTCTGGAAGCATCTGGGTAGAGATTTGCCAACTGTTTCTCAGGTTTACTAATATGAGAGATGTTTGGAATTACAGTTCTCTCATTCCCTGATTCTGGGGATGATGGTTAGGAATTTACAGTTTCCAAATATTAAAGAAGGCACCCGGCTGGGAAAGGCTGCTCTTCACTTCAGTTTTTTTCCTGACTTCTTATGTTCCCTGAACTAAAAACGGCAAAAGAGAAAATAAAGTAGGCAGGTTCTATAGACAATAGGTTTTATAAATCTGATTAACTAGATCAACTCAGTGGGTTTTACAGATTTTATGTCTATAATTTTGTACTATCTTAAATCTACTATATTGATCCATTCATTCATATGTACATCAATATTTTGCTGTTTTCTCTCTCCCTCCATTTTCTTGCCCTGATCACTCACTGTAATAAAATTCTGTTCTGCTTTATTGTAATTCTTCCAGTTGGTAGGATGGCAATTAGGAATCAAAGATGCAGAAAGAATAGGCAAAGTGGGATCCATAAAAATCAATGGGTCAGAAAAGATAATTTACATCATCAAGGCAACCCTTGCTCAATGTGTAAACTTAAATCGAAGCATCCCCAAACCTATCTGGCTATAATTCTTTATTTTAACATAATCAATGATAAAGAGCAAACCTGGGTATTTTAGGGCTCTGGGGCCACATCCAGTCTTTTGGCTGCCCCTGTCAACTATAGGAGATGACAAAGTGGAGCCCGTTGGAGGAGGAGTCAAAGGTGTCATTAGTCTTGAGTCCTTTTGTGCCCACAAGAGATCGAAGTCCCGCCCACCTTGAATTCCACTGACTCTTATCTACTGCCAATTTGTTTTGACTATGAGTAGTTCAGATTCTTATAGAGAGCTTTAGCATACGATACCCTATATATTCATTTGAACTGCCTGGACTCCTGATTTCCTGTACCAGTTCACATGAGGCCAATAGGAAATTAGAAATCAAATGTAAATAAGTGTACACCATGCATGCGATACAACTGTCTTGCTTTTATGTTCAAGGCAGCTCCTAGTTTTCCATTTACATATGTTCGTCCATGCATGACTATACACCTCACAGTAATCTGAATCATAAATTTATTGCTTTTTATATAGCAATAAAATTAATATTGAGTAGAATTCAGTTTTGCCTATCAGTTCAGCCCTCCACAACAGTCCCCATGTGGCCCGTGGGAGAATTAATTGCTGATTCCAACATAGAGTCTATTATGCTCTCAATTGTCTAC